ATTGTCTCATTATAGGAATCAATGAACACGGACACTTCATCACCTGTTATCTTCATTTTCCAGACAGAATAATGGGGTCAAGATAGAAAAGAGCTCATATTCCCAAAAAGAACCCTTCTCCAAGTATTCGTCGAATTCATCCTACAGGGTAATAAAAACGATGGTAGAGAGTCTGCTATCTCAATACTTCATATCCTCATCCTGGGTAATAGCTGAGGAAACGAAGGATTGATCTCGTGGACACTCCAAAGAACATTGCGGTCGGACCTTTTCCTGTATTATGCAATTTAGCACATCCAGGGGAAGATCACCTCCAAAAATGTACTGTCTCCTGCCTGTTCACGATACAGATACTGTATTATGCATGGGTAGAAGGTAAAACCAGTACAGGCTTCGTCCTGTTGATGAGAATTTCTGGGTAAAGAGGTAAAGTATATGGTACAAAAGGATGAAACAAATAATTCAATATTGGTCGAATATCGGTCCAGTTCTCCGCTTCTCCGTAATGCCAATATAGGCCCAGATTAGGTGCCCGTGAAGCAACGTTTTTAATCAACATTGCAGCAATATAAATTCTGAAACGTTTCTGCAACATATATGTAATGAATAAGTAACGATTTTCAACGTAAATGCAATGTTCCTTCCCAACATTTGAGCAACGTTGACGTTTTGGACATTTACACATATGCAACGTAAATGCAATATTCCTTCCCAACATTTGAGCAACGTTGACGTTTTGGACATTTACACATAGATGCAACATTGTTCATCAACATTTCCTAACCGTTGCTGGAATATCTTGTGTTACTTGGGATGGGGATACAAACGTATCGCAAGCTAAGGGAGCTATTTCGGAGAGGTCTGATGTCTCGATTGAAATATTCCAGCTGGAGACAGCTAACAAGACCAGCTGTAATCATACGGGGAACGAGCTTGGATCTCGCATTGTCTAGTTGCCTACTCAACTGGAATGCGTTCACAGCTTAATATACAGCTGTGGTTCAGCTGGAATTTCAAACTGAGGCTGTTTCTACGACTTCTACTATTCTTACTACTTACAATACAACTATTCGCGGGCTGACACGTGCAGGTTAGGTGCGGATCGTATTGGTTGCAGTTGATTTAGTGGAAACGGCAGACGCGTGTATCGCGAATTCGCACCCGAATGGGCAAAAAAAATCCACCACTTTCGAGTTTCAGCGGCTTCGTATTTCAGCAGAACAAAGTTTGATGGGGAAATCTCGAGGATTTTGACGCAAAATGCAAATTTCCTCGTTTTACGAGTCGAAGAATTGAAGCCCTTCCATTGGACTGGGGCTACTAGCGCGTCAAAACGATTCATTCTCCTTGCCTGGAATGCAGATCAAGACTGCGAGTTCCTCGGGCTTCCCTACATGACCGAAATCTAAGACGACGTGTTGGCCCGTTTCTGACTGCTGCCCGTGGAGGGAAAGGCCCTGCCCGTTGGAGGCGGGACACGGGGGAAAACTCGCTTCCGCAAGTGAGGGGCAGACACGCGATGCACAACCTCGGCTGCTCTCCACTTCTTCGCCTGCATCGTTCTCCCTTTCCATACTCTCGAATTAACTGTAAACCTTTCATTTTTTATATGGCGTCTTCAGATTCTCAACTGGATAATAGGATGCAGCATTTGCAAGTCGTGCAGTTCATAAGAACACTGCGTGACCGGCGCTTTCGTCGCGGCCAAATTGGTCGCGGACATTTCGTCGCAGACAAAAGGTCGCGTGTACTTTTGGTCGTGGCACTATTTCGTCACAGACACCGATCGTCGCACTCTCCTTATCACTAGGATATTACAAGGGCTGAGAATAGATGCAACTTGCACAAGTCTACGCGCGGGAACTTGAGAATTTTTAGCAGCTGCTTTATTGTGATGCTTTACTTTTAGAGGTCTTGAGGTATTTCAGTGCCATTAACACGATCCTAGATACACGCATATGAACGCGAAACTTCTCACGATAACGTCGTGTTACCCTTTGCCTCCCTTTCCCAGCTGATTTCCATGAGGAACACAGGGACCCTATTCCTTTCTACCATTTTTGTTAACCTTGCTTTCACTCCTTTCACCGATGCGACTATCTTTACCTGCAACAAAATAGTGCAAAGACCAAAATTGCATTGACGTTTGTCCACGACGAACTGCCCGCGACCATTTTAGCCGGAACGAAAACGCCGGTAACCGAACAGTGGGAGCGACTGCTGTTCGAAATTATTTGGCCTTAATTAATTTTGATTTTTTTAAATATTCTTTTCTATATGTAGCTGCCTTCTGAATAGTCCTAATATTTTTGCTGAAACAATTTGTTGATATATTTTTCTTGGCCACGGAACCGGATCTCTTGGAACCCTAAACATGGCTTGACTAAACCGTAAGCAACGAACTTCAGTTCCCATGTAGAATTATGTGCATCTTAGCGAAGTCCTTGTAATAGTTCGCTTTTTGCTAATATTTTTATTTTGTCGAAAGTCGAGCTAACGTCGACGTCCAACCATGAAACATCAGCTGGAATCGTGTCCAGAATAATATCATCACCAAACCTAAACTTCCTGGAATTGTATTCGAGAACGTCCTACCCAATGCAAAAAAATGGCCGTTCCGTCTTCACGCAATCGACCCCCGAAGCTCTCGCCCTCAGGCATCACGCTCGCAATATTGCACTATTTCGCATTTGCAGAAATCCACTCGGCATAGGCAGAGGTCCGGGAGAAGACGTCGGGGACGCCCTTCAAGCCGCAGGACTTCTTCAGGTAGGACACGACACCCGTCAGGTAGTAGACCCCATTGTACACCGTCGCCAACGGTCCTCCGCTGTCACCCTGGGGCAATCAACGATGGTGAGCAGGAATCGACTGCAATGCTGGTTCCAAGTATCACGCTCAAAATTTACGAGAAGCAATGCACTTCAAATAAATTTCTCAGGTACCAGCACTATGACCCTTTTAGGTATCAGCACATTGATCAGCATAAGTACATCTGAAGTACCCGCACAAGTACATGATTAAGTACCGGCTCAAATGCCTAGGAATACCAGTCAAAAACCAAATATGAGGCATGTACGAAAGTCATTCCATAGTGAAATAATCCACCGTAGATCTCTGTATCTGTTTTCATATTTTCCATGACTGGCGCTCTTCAAAGAATCGTTACAAGTGTCGGTTTCTTCGATGAACCCCATGAGATAGACTAGACACGGTGTCTTCGTTGGTGCCTGGGTGGCTCATTTCGTGCAACATGACCTTTCGCAGCCCGAGGTCTCATGATCATAAATTAGAATCATTTTAATGCCCGTTTTGTCTGAATTCAGACATACGAATTTGATCTGGGTGCGTCAGTGTTTCGTAGCAGTGCAACTTTTAGCAATCCCTTTCCTGTTTGGAACTTTCTCCTCTCTCCAAATATTTGTATAAAACATTTGCTAAAATTCGGTCAAAACGATTGACCGACTTTGAGCAAATGCTTTTTTTTATGCTTAAACGACTAAACCCATACGTGGACCAGAAATTAACGGGCTTTAAAATGGTACTTATGCTTGAAATACTAGTGCAAGTACTCGAAGAGACATAAGTTCATATTATAGAGTTTCTATTTCTCGTAAATTCATAACCGGTAACCGATAGACCAATTAACCGTAGGTTACCCGAAGTTTCAAAAACAGTTCCAACTAGAGGGGATATTTTTTTTCATGGGAAAGAGTGGATTAGGAAGGAGCGCAAATTCTTCCATATTTTTATCTCTGAGACTGGGGAGTGAATTATAACGTTTAATCGAAACTGACTTTTAGGAACCGTTTAGCGAAGATCAGTCCGTTAGTCGGTCGCACGGTTAACCGTTGAGACTCCTTTCGTGTGATCAAGTACTTCAGAAATACTTTAATAAGTACTCGAGTGTTGATGCACTCTGCTGATATACAATTACAGATAATATTAAATTATAATAAATGATTTATTTGAAAATAATTTTTAAATGGGGATAGAGGATCTCTCACCAGACAGATGGCACTGTTGTCGTTACCGGCCCCCTTGGCGCAGACGAATCGATCCTGTTTATCCGTGATGATGCCCTTGAGCTTGCACTTGGACTGGGACGTGACAGTCATCTCGGCCTTCCGCAGGGTCGAAGGGATCTCGCCGTCTGTGGATCGGGCCAGAAAGGAGCAGTGACGGATAGACCAATTTATTATTGGGGGTCGGTTCCCTAGTTTTCACCCCTACCACCACCCTCCGTCCTATCACCTTTTTCATTTTTCGTCGGGGGTAAAAACCTGAATATCCATTTCGTAGGTCCAAAGAAAAATTATTTTGTGCTTTTTAAATTAAAAAAAAAACATAATGCGAACTTGGCCTTCGGGCCTTCTTGGCCGCCCCCCTGGATCCGCGTTCGAGAATCGCTTTTTAACAACTTTCGACTGTTCGATTAGCGCGACAGACAAGGGCGATTCTGTGTGATAAGATGTTGGCCTTGTTACGAGGCCAATGAGGACGTTACGATGTATCTGTCTTGAAAAATCACCTTCCCTGGTACCACCTTCCCTAGTACTTGCGACCCCCAGTCAGCATTTTATCCCCAGGCCAAATATGGCTCATCTCCGCAATTCAACTTTTACGAGCTTGGCCCACGGGTGGCAGATGCATGGGGTGTAACGTAACGTAACGTAAATACCCAGAATTAGACTCGGTGCCACAGAAAACGCGGATGAGTTAAAAGTTCTGCTCACCGGTAGTAGATCGGTAATAACTCGTGACTGAGAGATCAGATTGCAATGCGGCTTAGATCAGACGAAAGTCAGGAAAATTCTCAGTATAACACTGGCCAGGCTCGTAAAAGTTGAATTGCGGAGACGAGCCACTCTTGGCCCAGCGATGAATTGCTGGCTGGAGTGTTTTCCGGAACAGTACCAGTACCAGTTACCGGTGGAAAGCCGACCCCATCCGTAGACGACGGCGTTCTGGCACTTGATTCCCTTCTCGGTGTCACCGCGCGGCACGCATATCGGCTGGATGTATCGGTCGAACGCGATTGACGACGACAGTCGCAGGAGCCCCACGTCGAAGCCGTCGGAGACGTCTCCTGAGGGAAAGAAAAACCCGGGTTCCAGCGTTTTTGCGATGTTTTGGCGATGTTCGAAGCCGTTCTCTCTCACCCGTGTAGTTGGGGTGCGCGAGGGCTTTCTCAACTGCGAATATTTTCTCCCCGGCGTCCGTCGCTTTCAGGTCCCATTGGCCCAGAGACACCAGGAAGTCATTCACATTTCCTCTGCAAAAGAAGTAATAAAATAATGAAATAATAGAATATTAAAATATAAAATAAAATAATTAATAAATAAAAAAAATCAAGAAAGGGCACGATTGGCTCTAGAGGGGAAACAGGAACCGGATGTAAGCTTTTTTTTCCATGGGAAGAGTGCAAACCGGTGGAAACCGGAGCGGGACGGTGGAAATGTTGAAACAAAGACGGGGTAGGTGGGGCAAGTGTGGCACGAGTGGAAATTCCGTCTTCTCTCCATCCCGATCTGGGGCAGAGAAGCTCATGACATGTATATTTCAGACTAACTTTTTCATCTCGTATCATTTTAATGCAAAACCACGCTGACGACAAGCCTGTCGAAATCGTGCAACTTTTGTGGGAATAAATAAGTCTGTCGCTTAAACTCATAATTTTTTTACTCTTTAGTCTTCCAATTTTGTTAATGAGATGCTTGAATGAGGTTCATTTGGTCAGGTTCCTTGGAGGAATAAATAAATACATATTCGGAAAGAGCTGGAAATGAAATCCTCACGTGCTTCATGACCAAGGTCATGACACTAACCGAGTCTGGAGAGTCCCTCATGAATTTCAAATTACGGTCAAAGAACCGAGTGGTAAAAGCCTGTCTTAAAAGCGGCCCTACGTGATGACAAGGGTTTCTCGACGTTTTTTCCGCGGGAGTCCCAAAGGGTCCCTGAAATCCTCGAGTCCCAATAGAATCTAAGAACACCCTCACGTTTCGTTCCCTACTCACGCACGTGAAAATAAAAAAAATCGTGGGACTCGCGAGTGTTTCGTGACTCCCGGGTCGTGCAACCGCGGCGTTCCCTACGTGGTGATGCAGTGAGCCGCGGTGAGGACGTATCTACCGCTGATGACGCTCCCCCCGCACCGCAGGCGATACGAGTCGCTCGCGTTCCTCCGAGCGTAGAGGGCGGCGATGAACGGGAACTCCTCGTACGCGGCCTCGTTCCCGTTCACGATTCGCGACCAGAGGCTCGCAAGGAAGCCCAGGATCCCGGGGCGGGCTACGGGCAGCCTCAGCCTCCCTCCTGGCACCGAACCGCACAAATCCGTCACTGTGGGAACAAACAAAAAAAAAAAGCTTCCGCAGCTCTTCATGAGGTTTTCATGATATTTTCATGAGGTTTCGTAATGTTTTTTGGGGGGCTATACCGATTGCCACCTTTGGCCGGTGGGCCGATGGCCGATTTTCATCTCACAACCATCGGCCGATGCCAGTGCCAGTGCCGATTGTTATTTGAAATTTGAGAAGTAACATGAAATTGCACACTAATTCATATAGGCCTATTTGGAGGCCATGTGATATTTGTCAGGGAACCCCCTAAAAACTACAGAGACCATTTTAGTACCGTCTGTCTGTGTCAATCAGTGGTTAGCTTGTTACCTATTACTGCTGTTAAGAGCATTTAAAGACGCATCTCTAGCAAAAGCATAGCATAAAAGGAGGGACAATGATTTCCCTTCTTTACCGCTATTTTCCTCCGCCAGTTCCTAGAGTAGGGCTGAAATATAATCCAATCTATATTTTTGGGTTTACACGTTCACTTCAAATTTTTTTCAGTTTTGGCTGTAAGTTTCGCCTCTCCATTAGGCATCGGCAGCTTGCAAAACGGCTGATGGCCGATGGCGCAGATAATGCAATACCGGCGGCCGATACCGGTGGTAGCCGATACATCGGTACAGCCAGGGCCGGATTAACGCATAGGCAAATAAGGCTATAGCCTTAGGCCTTCATATTTTTAGGCCCTCCATTCATATTTTTTTTGCAATATGTAATTCATGCCTAGGCCCTTCCCTCCCTTAGGCCTTTAGGCCTTTCATAACCTTAATCCGGCCCTGAGTACAGCCTTAGTTTTTTTTAAGTATAAGGTTTCCATGAGGTTTCATAAACGCTTCGTTTCGATCTTGGAGCGCGAGCAGACGGGCGAACGCACAAGAAATTTATCCACCGTCGAGGATGCGACACAGAACTAAAAGGAACCAATACAGTCAACTCTCGAAAACTCGAACCTCTTTAACTCGAAATTCTCGATAACTCGAAGTTACTTCGATTCCCTTCGAAAGCCCCATAAAGATACAAATATCGATCGTTGATCGTGAGGCTTCCAGGAGAATGCGCCTAACTCGCCTGACTGACTTCTCAAACGAATACGCGAAAATGAGTTAGTGTTGCAAGCTTCGTAGAATTGTATTGCATGTACAATGTTGTAGGGGCATAGAATCCGAAAACCTCCATAACTCGAATTTTCGTTAACTCGAATTTCCCTTGAGCTTCGAGTTATCGAGAGTTGACTGTTTTAGAATTCGTCGGAAAACGCGCAACCGAAGGGGCAGAGCAAGGAAAAAGCAACGGTAACGGTCGACGAAGCCATGCCGTTAGAGAAGGAACGTGATCGCCTTTCATCATTTCGACCGGTTCTTTCACAAATTAAAAAAAATATGACGTGAATGTCCACTATGTGTTATAACTATTTTTAAATGTTATTTAAATTAGGGCTCTAGTGATATATCGGCTGCTGGTTTTGCACTATCGGCGCCATCAGCCATCGGCAGGTTTGCAGACTGCCGATGCCGATGTTTAAAGGAGAGGCAAAACTAATGGGAAAAAATTAGGGCGAACGTGTGAACCCGAAAAATATCGATCGTATTATATCTCAGCCCTGTTCTAGGAACCGGCGGAGGAAAATAGCGCTAAAGAACTGGAAATCTTTTGCACCACCTTTTATGCTATGCCTTTGCGGGAGATGTGTCGTTAAACTCTCCTAATTGCAGCCATAGTAAGCTAACAACTGACGGACACAGACAGTACTAAATATGGTCTTCATAGTTTTTAGGGGGCACCCTGACAAAGATCACATATAAATAAAGTATCACATGGCTTCCAAATAGGCCTATTGAATTGGTATGCGATTTCATGTTACTTCTCAATTTTCAGACCACAATCGGCACCGGCGACCGGCTGATGGTTATGAGATTAAAATTGGCCGTTGGTTCACCGGCCAAATGTGGCCATCGGTACAACCCTGACTGAAATTATTTAAATTTTAATTAAAAATTCGATGTTTTGGCTTGATTCTTCATGGGGCCCTGGTCTACTTTTTGACCCTCTTCCCCCCCCCCCCCNACAGAATCTTTTGGAACGCTTTTGGAGGATGTGAATTTCATTCCCTTTTTTTCTCCTCCCCCCCCCCCCCCCCCCCCCCCCCCAGGATGACCCAGAATTGTTGCAACTCCTGCAAATGTTACATTAGGGTGTTAAGTGATTTGGAAAAAGTCCACATCGTTCAACACGAAAACTCTCACAAGCACTGAAAATCAGGAGAAACATCTCTAAATCATTTTGAGGGATCATTTACGCATGCTCCCATCCAAGATTGTCCAGGAACTTTCTGGGTATGACAAACAAAACCGGATTACATTGTGTGAAACGTTTCTTCAGATGTGCGAGGATGATCAGAGATTAATCGAGAATCTCATCATTAACGAGGCATTTTTTATATTTAATTAATATTTTTAATAGCTAAACAAGACGGAAACTAGTAATGAATATTCTCTCCTTAATACTTCTTAGTTTGTCGTATACTATGATATAAAAATTATATTAACTACTGTAAAAACCTACACAGCTGGTCCGGTATTTCTTCCTCTTGTGCAATGCCATCATATATAAATATAATAAAAGCTGGGATTGTCGAGGGGAACGCACGTGAGAGAGCCGTCGGAGAGGGCGGAGGGCACTGGCCGATTGCGACTGCAGCCAGCAGGACGAGGGGGAACGTTTGCGGTGGGAGCATGGAACCGGGAACGCAGAAGGATCCTGGTGGAATGTACGACGCCGAGGGGAGCTCATGCGTCGGTGACGATACGTGTCGAATCGTGGTGACAGGAGCGCGAAGTGTCGGGGGTTCCGTACGAGGAAAGCGGTGGGAACAGGTCGAGGCGGGTTCCGTCTCAGTATTTCACCGTTTCCCCGCCGGGGACGTGGAGGTGCTTCTTCTCTCTCCACTTCAGTTTCGGTTCGGCGGTGTGACGTAGGGCTTTCGCATCGTCACGAGTAACGCATTTGGTTTTTTTCTCAGTGCAGGGCAGCGCAGTGTGTTCTGCGCAGCTCCGCTCTGATTGGCTGAGGGAGGCAACCGTTCAAGGGACGCGATGTCACGTGCGCCTGTGCTTTACCGGTTGTCTTCCGTTCATCCTCCTGTATCTCGTAAACGGCTGCTGCAAAAAAATCGTGTTCAAACAAGATATGTGGCGCATGGTCTCTCCGAGCCAGTCGCATACATTTTGAATCTGTACGGCCATATTTAAGTGAGATAAACGTAAATTTACATATGGAATCATGACTTCATCACAGTGGCGGATCCAGGGGGAGGGAGGACGACCGCCCCCCTATGGCTAGGTTAACATTCAATTTTTTTAAATTATAGCTTCTACATTAATTTTTTTTTTTTTTTGGGGGGGGGGGGGGGGGGGGGGG